ACAAGTCATTGATCAGGAACTAGTAGTAGAAAGGCAGCATTCATAATAAAGCTTGCAGCTATTTCGAGTTGGCTCCTCTCAGCAGGAGTCATCTTCCTGGAAAGGCCCCACAGAGACCAGTTTAAAATAGATACTATTAGGAGAGAGATGCACTGCAAAAAGGCAGCGGTACAGGAGAAAACAACCTAAGAGAACAAGGACATTAAAGTTATTCTCGGGTTCAGTTTTCTTCACCTCCATCTGATTTAGTGTCGTATAAAGTTAAGTCCGTGTTGTGCCTTCATGCTGCAGGGCTGTAGCGCTGCCTGTGTCCCACTTCTCTGGTGGAAGCGAAGAGGCACAGGTCTGTCTTCTAGATGGACGGGCACGAAGGGATGCCTGAGAGGACCTTGTCTACAGCAGACTAGTTTTCCCACTCATTTAACACAGCTCTGAGTGGGTTTCTTGCAGAAACTGTATTGAATGTGTGCAAACTTTTCAGTGAGAGTTAATTTGCTTAGTAAGCCTCTAAAATAATTAGGCCAAGCCTAACAGCTTTTCCACATTCAGAGAGGAAAGTTTTGAACAGCCCCTTTCCCTGGCTATGGAACTCGGCAGTGACTCCACACACCATCGTGCAATATGTAGCAGTTCAGTCATCAAAGAGCATAAGCTTTCTCTAATTTTCCTGCTAGGAACTGCCGTGGATTATTTTCCTCTTTCATCTCTGTACAGAGGATGATAGCATATCTTCAGTTTAAATTTCAGAAATTAAGTTAGGGAGAGAAAAAAGAAGTCTTGATTTTTTAAAAATACTTCTACAGTGAGTTTGCACGTGAACTTGTTTACAGTTTGGGATAACCGTAAGAGCAAGAAATGAGAAATGTATTTCATCTTAATTCTTAGCTGTTTCACCTAGCTTGTTGCTGCCCAAATCACTACTTAATACATTGTTTTTCTCTATTTTGTAGAAAAGAAGAACAAGAATGCAATCATTTGCATGTTATGCTTCTGTAGTTATAGTTGACTTTAAAGTATATCAAGGCAGCTGATCACAGTCTTGCTGAGGAAGTAGTTATTGATTTACTGATCTAGGATCTATGAAATTAATCTGCTCATTAGACAATAAGCACCCAAAATTAATTCTAATCAATTATATAAAAGGTATCCCTTGGGTTGTGAGTCTTGTTTGAGGGCAGCCATAATGGTGGATAACATTGCTGACTTCTGAAGGGACCAACTGGTTTTACAGCTCCAGTATTTCTGAGGCTTAGTCAAGAGTACAGTTAGGGTATGACAGTTCATTTTGTGAAACTTAGAGGTTTGTTAGTACCATGTTAAAACAAATCCAGACTCATGTAATGGCTGTCTGGGATCTTCTACATCTCACAGCAGTGCGCTCACCACCAGGTGACCGGTTGCAAAATTCACCTTTTGTTTTCCTCCGGTAAGAACTTCACTGAAACAGAAATACTTTCTTTTTCAGCAGAAAGCATTTGGCATCAGCTAATGAAATCTTGATGAAAGGAAGAAAAAAAAAAAAACAAAACCAAATAAAGGTATCCAGAAATATTTGACCTTAGCCTTACTCTCCTAAATACCATAGGTTTTTAACTTTTGAATGACAACAGCTATCCCAATAAGACAGATATTTGTAGCATAGACTCAAACTGGACTGGGTTTTGAATAATGTAGAAATTGCATAATCTTTTTTTTATTCATTGTGTCAATGTTTGTTTTACAGATAGGAAAATTTTTTCATTTCCTAATGGTATCTGCATTTCAAAAATATGTTTATTTTATAAAAAATACATTAATTAAAGCAGTGAGGTACTGATATAGAACATCAGATAAGGAAAAAAATATCATTATATGGCCAATTTATTTACATACATAAAGCACTTCTCTCAAATATAGTAAAATCTCACATGAAGGAAGAATAATTAAATGATACATCTCAGCTTAATGTCAAAGTCCTTCAGCTGAGCAATACCATATCAAATATGCTTCCTAGCACTCTTAACGGAGCTAGTGTTTTTAAAAGTTTTTACAGTTAGAAAGGTATCTTTTGAGATTCAGACGGGTAAAATAAAAAGCTTCTGTCTGCACTTGAGAAAGAAAGATCCATTGCCAATTCCACAGGGAAACCTTCATTCTGTTTCATTGAATTAGAGAAAGACAATTTATGACCTTGTGTCACAACTGTTACTTACTGGTGGGGAGAGCGGCTGATTACAGTGATTTGCATCTTGGGGCATTTTTCTGGGTTAAGTGGAAGTGTGCTCTTTGAGTCTAAAATTGTGTCTTAGAGCAAACTCCAAGTGGAATTTTTTCCAAAATACATTTTAGTGATTTTAACTGATTCAAAATAATAGACCTTATATATTCAGGACATATGTCATAATGTACTTTAAAGATATTGCAAATTGAAACAAAAATGTGAGAAGTACAGCAGTTCAGTATTAGAAAATTTTGCTGTATTTCCAACCTTTTTTCTTTTAATCTTTTTTTTCTCTGAAACTAATACTAAAATCTGTTATTAATCTTGCTAAAGTAAATATATGATGATAGGAACATTTTTATTAATTTTTACTGCTGCCTTACTATCATCGTTCCATTCATAAGTTCTTAGGAATTTCTCAACGTACTGGCTCTTCAAACACAGTTACAGCTGGATTTGTAGCGATGACAGATTCTTTTCCATTGTTTTGAAATACTGACTTATATCTCTAAAGAACAGAAATAATAGTAGATTACTTCCACATCATGTGGAATACCTTTCAGGTTTTGTTGTCTCGCTTTTAGCTTCCTGATTTTTTAGTTTTCCCTCATTTGGTCTTCAGCAGGTTGGAGGGTTGTTTTGAATTATTTTCTTAGTCCCTCTGCTTAGTCAGTTTGCATACCTTAGTTTTTCAATGTATGGGTTTAATTTATGTGGGGATCAAACACTATAGAAATGCTTTTCTTTCTAATACTGTGAAATGGAAAAGACAGTTGAATTCAGTGATTCAGTCTGTCATTAGGTATTGCTTTCCTGCCTATGAAGACTTTGGACTTCTGATGTTTCAAGTTCTGAACCTTTTAAAAGTAGGAAATCATGCATTGTTTGTTAAACAGTGGAAATCAGGATCTAAAGTATTATTTTATAAATAAATATTAATATCTTTTATTTACCACATTGAGAGACTAAACAATTTAGATGTAAAATGTGAAAAGGCACGTAAAATGTTGAATTAATTATGCTTTCTCTCAATTCATGATGCTACCTATTTCCAGAAAGATCTAGTTTTATATTATTTCTAGCCTTCATAATGCAGTGTCTTTCTGATGTAAGATTTATGCTAGACATTGTTCAATTTTACTACATTTGACTTCATTGCTGCAGGACACTGCTGCTGTAATACAGTAAATAATGACTGCTAAATAATGTAAACATGGATCTCCTTGTTCAGATAGGCTGCTAACTCAAAGCTGAGTTATCCTACCCCACTGTTGCTCGTGACCTTGATCACACCACTTTTCATGGACTCTTGTCATCTATTGCTGTTCGTGGCTCTAGCCTCTTTCATGTCTTCTACTTTTCAGATTGCTTCTTTAGTGGTTCATTTAGTGGTTAGGCTTGGATCCTTTCTCCTCTTTGCCCTTTCCATTCTTCATTTATACCCTTTACTCATTTCTGGCCCACACAAACTTCTATGTTTATATATGGGTTTTAAATCCACCTCTCTACTTTTAATCTTTCTTCTTGTCCAGTCTCCCACATCTCATTCTTTTGCTGTTTATTCTGTAAACACAAAACTTGGGCCAAATTGCTCAATGTTTTTACTTGAAACTTCATGTTGTGTCAAAGTTGGCAGTGTCATCGTATTTGTCCTCGTCTGTGACAACAGTTTCATTTTTTCACTGGTTTGGGCGCTGAACATGTAGAATGTTTTTAAAAACAAACAAATGCAATGCAGGTGTGGGTTAATGGTACAAAGCTCTAATTGTGAAGTGCCTGGGGTACAGATATTCATGAGCAGCAAAGCGTTGTTCCCAAATGAGTGTCACTGAGGGATTTGGGCTCAGCTCTGTCTATGTAGGACAGGAGTGGCACAAAAGAATACCCTTTTGTTTTCAGGTGACAGACACCATCTCATTCTGTAAATCTGTCACTAGGAACCGTTGCTTGTTTTCTTAAAGAATTGAGGAGGAGGGTAGGAGCTAGGAGGCTGGAGAAGGACCTGGCATAGTTTTAAGAGTCTGCAAAGCCATTGGAGCTATGGTTTTTCTGGGCTGGTTTGGACTGCAGCATTGCCTGGGGTTTCCCTGACACAGGGAAGAGCAGCACAGCTCCAGCTCCAATGTGTTAGCCAGCCTCCAGCCCTGACTCCTGCAAACACCTTATACCACATTATTAGATGCATCCTTTGAGGATAGCACTGCAGGTATGGAAGGCAGGTGTCTTCCAAAGTGATGGTATTGCACTGCTCTTTCTGTCAAACAAATTTTGCTCAGCCCTGGGTCTTTTACCTAAAAGAAAAGATTGGAAAGGGAATGAAACTTTCAGTCCTTTCATAAAGAAGAGCATTCTAGCATCTGTGGTGGCCACAGGATCAAGATGAAGATTGCTGAGCTCCTATCCTAACCCTTTCTGCAAGCTGCAGCAGATTCCTGTAAATGTTCATGCATATTTTCCAAAGCATTTACAGGCTCAAAGATGTATGTAATTCCGTTAGCCACAGAGGCTGGTATTTTCTTCTAGGGGCCAGCAGTAGCCTGAGTCCATCGGTTCAGTGGGTCAGTAGAAGTCCCGCAGCAGCACGGCATTGCTGGAGGCCTCCTGGCAGCGGTGCCAGGCTTGGGCTGGCCTCACCTCCACAGCTAATAAGGATGTCAACCTCTAGGTCTGTGAGCGAAATTGTGTTTGCAGGTCACAGGATTTTGTTGTGAGAACAATAAGTCACTGGTAAATTGGCAGCACGTTAGAGATTATATAGCGATTATTCTCTCTTTACCTTTTTTTTCTTTGGATGTTGCAGGAAATATTCAGGAAGTCATATTACAAGAACACTTGGAAAAAGAAGATGAAATTCTGGTTTCCTTGGCTGGTTTGAAGCAGGTATAACTATTGCTTAACTTAACCTTCTTGTATCCACCAGTGCTATTAATCCTTTTTTTTTTTTTTTTCCTTTCTTATTCTTTTCGTATACTGCTGTTTTGTCTTGTAGCTCTTTTACTAATACTAATGCATCAAGCATTGTGGCATACTTTTATTTCAAAAGGTAAAACGCAGCTATAAAGAATTCAAATGACTTGCACGGTATTTGCTCCCTGAAAAGTTATGGAGGCCTCAAACCAGAACTGAGGCAGTGCGACAGCAAGCTCTGGACTTAAGCCACACCATCATTTTTCTTAATGCAAAATGTACATGCTAGGCAATAATCATGCCTATGTCCCCATTATTTAAATGGGACGACACTTGAATGTCATTGAATTAAAAGAAGAAATACAACATACGTAAAATGAGAATGCTGCTGAGCATCTGTAGCTCTGATTATAATGTCCTCTGCTCCCTCAAAATACGTTTTATCAGAAACGATGTGGCATATGTTAAATCTATAACAAGGTAGGAAATAATCTTAACAGTTTCTCTTTAGATTTCTTGGATACTTGTTTTCCAGACTCTGGTACAAGCACATTTCACTGATACTTATGTGTCTAGCCAATATAGATATGAATATTGACTTGCTCCCTATCTCTTCAAAGCAAATATTTTTGGGAAATGGTATATGAAGGCATACTGCACAGAGCTTTAGAAAATTTAGAATTCCTCCAAATTTCTAACCTACATTCTTTTCCATCCCATACAACAACAGATCAAGGACATCTTGAAAGGTTCCCTGCGTTTCAACCAGAGCCAGCTGGAAGCTGAAGAAAATGAGCAAATCACGATCGCCGATGATCATTACTGTTCCAACAGTCAGAACAAGGGGACCAGTGATGTCCTAAAGGGACCTGTTATGACAAAACAACAGTTCATCTCAGGACGACAGGTAAAATAAAAATATCTCAAACAGGTCATTGATGGAATTAGTCTGGTATTTTTTGGAGACTTTCTTTAGCGTCTCCAGACGTTACACGGGAACACACCAGCATTCCTGGTGCATATGGAGCCATCCTTAAAAGTTTCTCTCTAACTACTGTCCTAATCCCATCAATTATTTTTATTGTAGCCTTAGGCTGTACACACAGATTTTTAAGTCTAAGTGTTGCGCAGCGTTTGGGGGTTTCCTCTTTCAGATTGTTGAATCACAGAACGGCGGATTAATTTCCTACAAAAACATGTAAAAACTGGAGGCAAATGTTCCCATATCAATTGATTATTCTCACTGTCCTTGTCCTCCAGAATCCCATTATGTAAGAGCCGATTATCTGCATTGCAGTGTATCCATGGCCAGTGCCAAAAAGGGAAATAGCGAGGAGGTGGCTTTTACCTTCTACTCCATTGAACTGGCTTTCTCCTTGAATCAGTAAACAATGTTTTCACATCCAAAGCGTACAGTCACAGGAGAAGTTCACACACAGAAAGAGGTATTTTCCTTTCATGTTAAAAGGTCCCTCTCTGTCTAAGACTCAGTCCGACTGAAATGTGATCTTAAAAACAAGTACTTTTGTATATGCATGTCTATACCATTTTCAATATTAGAGTTCTAAAGTCTGCCACCCCGCTATTGATACTCACACTTGTAAATCCAGTGGTAGCACTATCACTTCAGAGTCTAACTGAGTCTGCAGTCAGTTTACTCTTGACAAATTTAATTAGGAACTAGAGGAAATATTTATTCATTTTCAAACAATGACACAGGGTTGTTTTGATTTATTACCCACAATCCCCTTGATTTAGCATAGTCTATCAAAAATTGTATTTAATTGTATTTCAGTATTAGAAGCAATACTGATTTGATTTTTTTTTTTTTTATTCAGTAATGGCAGGTTCAAAGAGCAAAGCTTTGCTAGAAAGCTTTCATTGCTTCTTTACCTGTTGTCATTGCAATCACTACTTCCTGCCATAATAAAGGCATAGGTTAAACTGATGCAGCATATTGGAATATTCATATAACGACCTATTTTTGCCCATTGTTTCCCAGCACTTTATACAAAATCTCTCTTGCTTTCATGCCAAAATAGCAAATACTAGGGTTTTTTTGTTATTTTTACTTGGATTTATTATAGAAACCAGAAGGTAGAATGCTGTATAAGACAACCACATGCTGTATGAGTGTTTGCCAGCCCTACTCATGCTGGAGAAGCCCTTACTCAGACGCTGGTGTCACTGAGCGGAGGAGCCGTGGATTTGCACTTTGAGTATCGGGAGTGGAGCAGGTGGAGCCTGGTCTGCGCAGGTTTCTTTCCAATGGAAATTTTCAGCATGATGTGTAATGAGGTCTCACCCCAATGTGTAGTCAAAGTATACATCCAGCCACAGGAGCCAAGCGGTGTCCGTGGGTCCCACATTTTCCCTGTACTCTATGAGGCTGTTAGTAAGTCAACTACAAGCAGCGTGACTTTGTACAAGCTGAGCTCCTGCAGAGAGTTAATGAGGTTTCAGCACTGTGTGGTCTATGTTTGGAGGTGCAGTGCATTCGTACGGATTAGCCTCCTCTTCCCTTATCTTCTGGAAGTTCCAATTATGGCAAGGAGCAGCAGCCCCTGCGACAGAAAGAACAAGAAAAGATTAGGGTTAGAAATGGCAGTCCAGGAGGACTGTTAGTATCCCAACAGTCTGTGGTGTTTCCAAGTCTGTCGTCTTTAACCACGGTGTCTAATATCAAACAAAAAGAGGAGAGCTTTGGACCTCTTTTAATAAAACACAGGAAAATGAAACTACTGAATTTAGTGGGCTGTGACATTGGACTGTTAATTGATGGGGTGGATTGTTGGCCCAAACTGGACCGCAGCCCAGGCTTTTAGTATTCTTCTCTGCCGAAGAAAATGGGCTGCACTGATGCCCTGGGTCAAGCAAGGAGAACTTACTGAGAGCTGCAGGGGGATTAAAAATTCCAACCACTTCTAGATCCTTTAATGCATTTCTTGCTAAATAAATTTCACTGTATTTCCATTTTCTGTGACTTTGGTAATGCATGTAATTCTGTTCGATGTGACTTATACTGTAGAGATTTTTCTCTGGTGGCATTACAGGGCTATTTTCTATGACAGCTGGAAAAGTTACAGGTGTAGCTATCGTGTAATTGAGATTAAGATCTGGTCTTTTGTGCTTGGTTGTTATATAAGTATAAATTATTTATCATCTTTACTTTTTTTTTTTAAAGTGCTCTTCCTCTTTTTTACCTCAAAATCCCTTTCTGGAAAGTGAGGATAAGGATGCAGCCCTTTTTTAGAAAGAAAAGCTGCAAAATTAAAAATGCAAAAAATTAAGATAAAGGCTGAAAGAAATAGAGCATTTTTTGGAATGTTTGGCTTTGGTAGCAGCATGCAGTTGACAAACAGAAGGCTTCTGTTGCTAAATAATGAATGATAATTAACACATTATCTTGCCTTTATGTCTGTTCAAAGAAGGAGGCAAAATGAGCTGCTGTTCTTGTAAGCTTTCTCGAATTGTGTCTTTACAGTTAGTTTTAACTCATTCACAGTATGAAGGCAATTGAAATAAGCCTGGTCCTAGTAGCTGATATTCATCAGGAAAAAATGTTTGGAGAAGCCATATGGCAACGGGCGTAAGGTTGTTAACTTTCAAAGCTACTGGAAGTATAATTCTGTCATTTTTCATTTATTCAGTAGTGGCAGCAGATGGGAGAAAACATGGTTCACGTCAGCATGAGTTTCCTGAAACAGAAACAGGCAGAAGAAGAATGGAGGAGGTATTTTACCTCTGGAAATATCAGTACCAAAATACCAACGTATGCCAGGGATAGGCGAACATTTACGGGAGGTCCTTTTATAGCATTTTGGAGTCAATATCTATGCTTTGCTGCTTCTCTGACACTTCAGTGCACTATAGGTCTCTTTAACGGAACCAAAAAGTGTGGGTAGAATGACAAGTAGTGTTGCAAAGCACAGCACAACACGTAACAAGAAGAAACTGAGGTGTGTAGTTTTCTTTCCTGTCCCTTTAATAAAGGGCAGGATGCTTTTTTTAACTGCGCGAGAGCACATATTTGGAGGCAGAATTTAGGAAATTGCAACACCAGCACAAAGTGTGTGTGATGGAAGGCCCTTGCTGAGGTCACTGCCAAAGGGAAGACACCCCATTAGCATCCTTGGGGGTGCCAGCGAGGAAAGTACTCATCTCGCTGGGCGAGGGCGTCACTAGGTAACATCCGTGTCACCCTACGCCATCTTCCATGTGAGGGCTGCGAGGACTGAAATAGCATGATCTTGATAGCTTGGAATAATAAAGTGTATAATTTTGCAAAATGAGGCTGTACTGCGTTCCCTGAGAGCTTTTAAATAGAAGCGTGGAAAGAAGCCAGGTGAATTATGCAATGGTGGTTGTTTAAAGGAACGTATATTTCTGTTGTTCTGGAGGTGGGGGGAAACAAAGTGCTGAAATTTTGAACACGGCATTTAGAGCTCCCAAAAAAGCCTCACCTGGCCCTGTCTTCTGGCTGCGCTGGGTACCAAAAAAATCGGGCGACTATTAACAGGTTGGTGGAGCAGAGCCGCGGTTGCACACTGCCTGTGTCTTCAGCCCCCTGGAGACAGCAGCCGATTGACTGACAGCTCATGAAGACAGCATTTCAAACAGACCAGATGAAAGCAAAAAGCTAATTAGTAACAAATGGTGTCTCAGCTCAGAAGTGCTTAAAGAGCGAAGTATCTCTCCTTGTAGGATAGATCTGTTTGTTTTTAACTTCATGGAAAGTGCTTGAGGTTGTTGACATTGGAACTACCCTGGTTCTGCGCAGATCAGGAAGATGGAGATCAGTTCTGATAGCACTCAGCACAGGATAGTTGTTGATATTTTTAAAAGCAATCTGCTCAGTGTGGTATGAATTTTATTAAGTCATCCAAGGAAAATGAATTAGTACAACTGTCTTACATTGCAACCCTTAAAATCGTAACCAATACTCTGGACTTAAAATGAATGAGAAAGTATTAAAATGGGTTAATTACAAAACAGAATATGATATATTGTTATACCTACATAATAATATAGTAGTATTATACCTAGATACTATCTAGATAACACACAAAAAAATATAAATTATAAAACCAGGATGTTTTAAAAATTTCCTGCAAAGGGAGATATTTGAATTCTCATTTGTATAAATTTTGGAAGGGTATAGGTCAGAATTCTGTATTTGAACATATTTTCACATTCAGATGATATTTATCTCGTTTGTGACTTTTAATAATTTGGAACAACTATGTAAATAACAACCAAAGACTTCCAGCTCCCTCGTTTCATATTACAGTCATTCTTATTCACTGGTGGGTTTTGCTCCCTGAGCTACTCTACAGTTCCTTTTCAAGAGATTTCTGGTCTATAATCAGTAATCAGAGCAATGGAAAATTGTTTTCAGCTGTAATAATAAATTCAGCAAAATAAGTTTTCCTGGAGCCCTGGTTACTGTAACGCCAAGTTGTGGCTTGCCAGTACTTGCGATGACCTCCATACTCCAATTTTATATACTGTGTTGAAGGTCTAACTTTATCTCGTTCAGATTCTTCCCGTTCATTTTCGTCATTGCTTTCTTTTTTTCTCTAATACCTACAATCTCTCTTTTACCCCAAAGTGAATTTGCATTTGCACTTTTTTGGTGAAAGAGTCAGAGCTCAGACTTGTAGTTGACACACATGTTGACATACACATTTCCCCAGCTGCCCGTCTACTTCTCCTTTTTCTCAGTCTTGCATTAGTGTAATCAAATATATTGGTTTCAATATCACACCACTTCAGGATTCTTGTCCCCACAGGCTGCTTAGCAGGTTGCATTATTACACTGAAAAAATTTGTGTGACAGCAACTAAGAAAGCAGTCATATTCTTGTCAGAGGAGCATAGTGCTAGGTAGTGCATCTCTTGCAGAAGAAAGCAAAGTGGTGTCCATTTGGATGGCAACCAAGCTAACAGGCTGCCAGTTGTGGGAGAAATCCCACTCTGCTGTATATGGCAGTCTTCCCTTCTAATTACATATAGTTCTGACTGTTGAAAAGTTGGATTTCTCCTGAATATGGCTAGTTGGAATATAGGATTGCAGTTTGTAGGGTTTTCTGGTACACTGATGTGTAATCTTGATCCACGACCCTCATTTTCTGTTAGAGTTAGGAAATACTCATCAACACTAAGCCTAGAAGCCCTGGGAGCCCTGATCTGCCAAACCTGAACTGGCGCACAGTAAACCAGGTCTATGTACGGCTCTGATTCCACATGTCAGGGTTTTACTAGGAAATTTTATATCAAACCATTCTCCTGACAAGCTCCAAAATGCCATTGTACATGCAAACCAGCAAAAAATTCCTCAATATTACTTCATGAAGTACTACAGAAAACTAACAGCAGTGAGAATATCACTGAAAATCTTCATGACTGTAATGTACATGTTGGATGCCTAGCTGCTGTGATCACTACATAGATGCACAATGATGATGAAACTTGTGAGGCTGCTATACTAAATAACGTATTTTTAGAGTGTTAGCTTTTATGCTTTTGTAAATAACAAATAAATTATTTCATCAAAAGTTAATACTTCATTGTTTACTTCTTGATTTAGGCATTACTACTTTAGGCTGGTGATAATTCCTTAATCCCATTCCTATATCAGTGACATGCATCATAAACCTCATTAAGTGGTAAAACTGGTACTAACTTTAAGTAAGTCCTTTCTGTGCTGTTGTCTCACAGACTACGACTGATTCGAACACTAGTGAGAGCAAGAGTGCTGATGACTACATTATGGTTTCCAAAGAAGAGGAAGGAAGTAGACGTGCTGTCCTGGAGCCAGCGCAGCCCCATCAGGCACACAAGGAGGCAGCGGTGAAGCCAGAAGCTCCGTCTCGTTCTTCTTTGATATTCTCTGACCCACTGATGGGCTCCATTTCAGCCTCCTCCAGCAACCTGAGCTCCAGCCCTGATGACGACAGTAGTAACAACAGCAAAGATTCTGACTTTGCTATTGTCAGCCCACTGGACATCTAAAGAAACAGACTGGAAGAGTTTGGGAGGTCGGTTGTTGCACCTCAGCTCAAATTCCTATGATTCCAGGGGCTGGATAGTTCTTTGGATTAGAAGGACAGAAAATAGATAAAGGTAACCCATTTCAGCTGCCAAAAGTCTAAATTTAAAAAAAAACCACAAATTTGAAACTCTTCAAAAACAATAGACACCTTTTAATAACTGCCTTAAATAAAGACCCAGTAAAACCCGGTTCTAATATACAGTTATTCTTAGTTATAGAGTTATCTTACTTAGGAGCTTTGTTACTATAGAACTGTTGCTTTCCTAAAACATAGAATAGTATGTGCTAGGTACCATAATGGATTAGGAAATGTGTAGATACTTGGCATCAGACCTGAAGCAGCAAAGGCAAGCTAGATTTAATATCATCTTTTTACAAAATATGCTCAACTGGGTTTGCTGAGTAGGAAAGGGTACTGTTTCTTCAGAGATTAGAGAAGTAGGGAATGTATGTCAGAAAGATTAAAGGCATCAGCCTGGCAGTAAGCTTGTTCTCAGTTGAGGAATCCTGGTTTCTTCATTTTCATCCGGCAGTAGCCTGAGGTGTGTTCAAGGCAGAGGTTTGTGTAGTTGTTCCTCAGCGCTGTCTTACAGGAGAATGTGTGACAAATATCTTGAGAACGGGGACCGATACAACAGAGCCTTATTTCCCTTTGCCTACTTTTTTTTCCCCTTGAGAGTTCCTTTCCCTCTTTATATCTGTCTATTTCCACTCCCCCCTGGCGTTTTTATTTTACTGAGATTACCATGGTTAAAACAGTAGGTGCAAGGGAAATTACAATATTTTGTAGTGTAGACCTGAGCCAATTGAACTAAAACTAGCTTGAGTATGATAACTTACCAGGGAAGGGTGCAAAGTGAAAGGAAATGTTCATAATTAAAAGCACTTTATGTCTCATTAATATTATCTTCTATAGACTCTGTTTACATATATTCCTATACAATTTCCACATTTCTAGTCAAGAAAAACATAATGGTGCAGCAGCGTTAACCAACAGAAAGTTACTAATTAACTCTAGAACTTGTTCTTCTATGGAAAAGTGTATTTCTTTCCTATCAAGTACATAGTACATCTAATAACAGTTTTTTCAAGTAGATATGGAGCGGAGCGGGAGGTTGTACTTGCTGATCCCTTTAAACTGTGTTGGAATTCATAAAAAGAAACTGGTGGTGAGTGGACGCCTGCTCTTGTAGGACCTGCACAGAACTAGCTTGAGGAAGGAATGCTAGAAAGTCACTCTACTTATAACAGCAGCAAAAAAAAAAAAAAAAAAAAAAAAATTTGCATTATTTACTTTTAAGATACATATACATTATACCATGCAACAACTTCATAATTGCATGGCAAAGCTTGTGTTCGTGTAGAGTTAAAAAAGGTAGTTATTTGCTGCTTAGTCTGTAATTGTAAATGGAGTTAAGTACCGTATTCCAAAGATGAGGTGACATGTAGTTTGCTGGTCTTAGATTTTACAAGGTCTGTGTCAGTGACTGCAATGAAGAGATAATTGTCATGTAATTACATGGTAGCTGACATATCCGTACACGCTCAAAAGCCACCGTGTAGTTCTTCTGAGATTATTTGTGCCTTGTAAAATGGTAAAATGCTAGAATGTTATGAGCAAGCCTAGCATCATACCTCTCTGCAACAGAGTGATATGAAGAGTCAGATGACTGTTTAGATGAAAGATCTTAAATGCATAACATTTCAGAGAGGTGTTTATTTTGGTTTCATTTTAAGCTTCATAGAAAATCACTTTGGAATTCAGCATGCATGCCTGTTTTCAGGTTTATTTTATTTCCCTGAGTTTGCATGAATGCCAGGGGATTAGGTGGCTGTTGATTTATTTAGGTCTTTCAAGCTCTTCTAGCCTTAACCCAGTCAGCAAGGCTTGTGCCACACCACCAACAAAGGGGAATCTGTTCAAGAAGTACCTATGGAAAGAGGAAAGAAATATTCTGGGGACAGAGAGAAAAGTTTTATATTCTGTGATACATAAGCCTTCAAAGATTCCAGTACTTTGGCAGGGGAAAATGTTTTTACTTTTTTTTTTTTATTTTTTTAAGCATCAGTCTTTTGATTTCTGTTCTGATTGTTTGTTTCAGGGATCACATTGCTATTTTCTTGAGCAGTCTCATTGCCAATGGAAGAATGTGGTTTGCACAGTTCTTTTATTTTTATAAGTTAGTTGTATCTTTAATACTGCATATTTTAAAAGAGCACTAAAAGTATACAAAGATCGATGAGCTGAATGCCTATCATGCCATGGGACATGATAAAAATCTTCACAAGCAGAGAGATGATTATACAAATAAGATCAGAGCAAATTCCCGTAAATGAACCTGCTTTGGTTATACCATGTCCTTCCACATCTCAAATGTGTTGTCTCTGATACTTGATCATAGTGCAGAGATAGATAAAATTTTGTATATTGATTAAAAGTCAGACACTTGTAAGTCAGACAGAATGTCGAGTCATCACCCTGTCTTGCGTTATGTTAAGAATATACCGAGAAAGAAATTGTCATTTAAAATACAAGATTATTCTTTTTCTCCGAAGATGACCTGCTCATAATGTTCATGGATAACAACGATCAGATAGAAAAAATATATGCATTGCAAATTACTGATGAAAACTAATATGGTAGTAAGATATGTATCTGAGACTGTTGTACTGTATCTCACATCTGTAATTTTTGACTGTTTAAAGTCTCTTGCATGTTGTGTCAGTTGTATGTACTGCAGAAAGGCAGTATCATATTTTGACCGGGTATTCATTTAGTCGTGGAACTTTGTATCTTTACTCTGGAAGAACATCTAGCCCGCTTTATTAAAGAAAGAATTAACAAATTTTCTGGGCTGTGCTTGTGCTGTTTTCTCAAAGAGGAGGGAAAGCTTTTTGACTAGAATACTGGAAGTATGATTTCTGAAAACAAGGGTGATGATGAAAAACTTTAAAACTATCTCATTATCTATATGAGCACAAAGATTATTATATTTTATTCAGATTTTATATATATGATCCAGGGAATAAAACTGCTTGTCATTTATCTCACCCAAACAACATAGAACATTTCCTATTTTACCATATTTATTGTATCTGAAAATAACAAACCAGACTTCAACGTGGTATAACTTTTCTGCAATTTCGTGAAACTTGGTGTAGTTGCATCATTGTGTCTCAGTCACAGTCACAGTATCTGTACAGTACTTTTCTAAATCTCAATACTTTATTTCACATTCTTAAATGTTTCCTGTGATTCTCCAGTATGTTCTCCTCATTAGATGGCACTGAGGCAGCTATTTTAAAGATTAAATCTCAGATTTAAGGTGTACTTGTGCCTGGCAGTTAATATGTCGTCTGTTCAAATACAGACACGGCAATCCTAATGTGATCAGATTTCCAAGTTCTGGGTGTCAGCCCTTAAATAACACTTTTGATTTTGTGCTGCATGTGTTGGTCTTGAGTGAATGTCTGTAATGGTTTATTAGACTTGAAAAGGTGCAATTTCGTAAAATAAACTTCATTTGGCTATGGAATAGTAATTACACTGTCTCATAATCTGTGCTGTTCTTTTAAGAGTGATTATATACAGTCTCTGCATTAGTGTTTCCTGTGTCGCCCAATCTGCTAGACTCCCACTTCAGTAGCCAGCTAAATTTAGAGATGAAAGAGCATGAAAGAAGGTCATCAGAGAAACAGCAACTTGAAATGTGCACATAAGCGACTTGTTTGCCTGCTGCTCGCAATATATTTAACCACTAAAATGTTGAGGAAGGTTTTAGATACGTGGGAGGCTCTTGCAAGAGGCAAAGTTCATGCCCCTAGAAACAGATGAGCTGGAAGGGATGCACCGTGAGACTCCTTAAACTACAGATTCTTTAGGGTAGCAACCATCTTTTTCTCTGAGTTTCTACAGAACTTCTAGCATAGTTTGGCATGATCGCAGACGCTGTCAAAATTAGGATGATAATAATAATAATATACTCATTATTTCACCAGGTTTTGCTCTTTCAAACAGTGAGCTAGATGTAATCCAATAATAAGAGCTCGGCTGATAGCAGTAGTATTGTATCAGAAGAGTTTGATCCCACACTGCTGAACTAAGTGCAATTGTAGAGCAGTAGCTTAAATAAAGAAATTAAACACACACCTAAAAAAAAAGAAAAGAAAAAAAAATACCACAAATCACACCAGAAACAGGACAACAATGGTCAACAATGTTGCCAAATACAAAAGTCTAAATTTACCTCCAGACAGATAACAAGCATTTTCTAATATGTGCTTCAGGTGGTACTCGTGTACCTTGTTTGACTACGCCAGGTAAGTTTGCACAAACCTATCTTAGTTTTTAACTTGCCAAATCCTAACTGCAGGAAGCATTTAACACATATCAGCTGCAGAGGGAAGACACTGTGGTTCCATTTTCTATGAAGGGTAAGAATTTGATCCTTCAAATCCCACTGCTTTAACACTTTCACTGTCTTCCATGGTGGCAACATGAAAAACCCTGTAAGCATTTCCAGAGACCTGGTGGGAACTCTGCTGCTTATGTCGTCCGTGGAATCGCAGAGCTTTGAGCTGCGAAAGTTTGCACAGCTTTGCCTTTCACTGTGAGCTTCAGGGACTGCGGTGAGATTAGGTTTTGTCTGGCTTTTTAACTAGTACAAAGAAGCATTCAAAGATGCTATAAATTATCGTGTCAGTATTTGAGACCTTTTGGAATATAAATTGCTACATGGTTTTGAGATGGAAGAATAGTTGTCACAATATCTTGATTTCCCACCTGCTGTGTTAATTGAATCCAGGGGATGGGAATGTAGTAGCATTTTCAGATCAGCACTAAATTCCCCTTTAAACTAAGATAAAATAATCAAGCAAACAGATATTGAAAGGCAGATTGTCAGAGGTGTCATACAGCTTTCTGCATAATATATACCTCTGCACAATATTCGGGAACGTGCAACATTTTCATCCATGAATAGGGGGACTTGCAACAGCCTGGAACGCATGGCAGAAAATGTACATGAATGTGAGCCTGTTCTTAA